GCTGAAGGGCTTTTGTGTGAATCCTTTGAACAACCTAGAAGACAAAGACAAACATACAGTTTCAACTCAAGTAAAGCAACCCTTTATTGACAGGGGAATTCTTTTGGAAAAACAAAGTCTACGATCCAATGATTTGCTGGTTGGACTGTGCAAAGCCTTTAACAGATTTGATGTTAAACTATGCCTGTTGTGCACACTATCAATATAAACTACTACAATATTATAAGTTACTAAGCCAGTTATACACTCAGAACAAAGCGTTCATTTAAATTTAGAAATCTGGTTCAAGTTGCAGCCCCCTGTGAGGCTGTGTGTGTCTTCGGAGTTAATCTTTATGATGCTATCAGCAGGTAAGATTGGAAGTTGTTAGTTAAAGCTGAAAATCTGCTCAATAAACAATGCATGACAAGTGATATGTGCAACAGAGTTGATGCTGTGGCTGTCAGATGCTGTGCTGAAGACCTGTGTAACAGAGTAAAGCACACCAGAGTATTCATACATCTCCTTTTTGCACCCTTAGCCATCATTTCAGTCTTCATTTCAGGTGAACTTTCATTGCAGTGAGTATTTAAAAAAAGTATGCCCTTTAAAGAGAGATTTGAAATCTGAAAACCTGGTGGAATTTTGAGAATAATTTACATGTTGCATCCTTAAGCCTTTAACTTTAAGTATTTCATCAACTAAATATACATTTTTACAAAATAAATACATTTCTTTTTTAAAAATGATGACACGGTCAAGACTTTTTCTCATATTTCACACATATAGTTCAACAAGCATGACAGTAAGAAGTCCTTCTCTTTCTGAAAGAAAATTCAATTAAACTCAATTAAACCTACAAACAAAGCACAACTCAATTCACATGAAAAACTCTGGTTCGAGTAATTCATGTAAAAAATGTTTCTTTTAAAGAAATTTTGTATTTTTTTGCTTGAAGGAAGATACAGTGCATCATGTAGTGTGTAGCTATACAAAGCAGACAGTAGAGGGCAGTGTTGGAAAAATCAAATTAGGATATTTGGAAGAGATTGTTTGTGTGAAAAATATTAAACCTGTTTCCAACTAAGTCCAGAATGATGTGTTTATGTGTGTATTGATTCTTATATTTATGAAGCTAATGTAATTTTGTTTTGCAGGCCAAAGATATAAACGAGAACACTATCACTTTAAATCATTGTTATTTTTAGCAGTGTGGCACATATAATGTCAAATTTGTTTAATAATACATTTAATAACTTATATAATATAAGTGTTCCTCTTGAGAATCTTTGATACCTTTTATTGTAAGCAGTTTTGTAATGTTTGCAGCACATGTGTACTCCACCTTTAAAATCAGGGAGATTAAATAAAATCACAATGTAGCCAAGTTGAAAAATTACAACCATGATTGATTAAAAATAAAACATTCTTAATTAAAATATGCAGAGCAATTTGTCAAAATGCACAATCCAAGATTAGCAAGGTGTCACATCTTGATTTACTTTGGTAATTAAATTGAAAATGTATGAGAAATATTTTTAAGTGATGGAGAGAAAGCACTAGTTTGACCTGCTGTGCACTTTAGTAAGCATAAATCCAAGCCCCACACCCGGCAAGTTATCAACTCTGACCTCTATTCAAATAGCTTTGTTCCAAAGTGTCTGCGTGTAAATAAGCTAATGTTGCTTTGCTCAGTAACTCTTGAGGTAATGTGGTCTGGGAAATAAAAAATAAAAACAAATCATCAGAGGTTTAACCATCATGCAACATCTGTGGCTGTGTGTAAAAACTGTCATCACCGCAGTCATCAGCACTCAATGAAGTCTTTCTCTGGTTAACATTGCTATAACATGTGAATAACAAAAACTAAATGTGTATTTGTTAAATTATAACTAATCACAAATATACAAAAAATATGTATATGCCTGTAGTTCAGTATGTAGAGTATGTAGCATCATACCATGCAACTTTTATTTTACATCAATTTGAGAATCTTACAAAACACGATCACTCTAAAAACATGCATAAAAGGGTGTTTTCTGTGTGTCACTTGAATGCAAAAAAGGGAATATATCTTTTGCACATCTGGATCTTCGGTCAATAAGGCTTTCATTTAGCCTGGTGTCATGTTACCACTTTATTTCCACAAAAGTTTTTTTCTGTGTAAATGCTTTAAGTTCTCTAATTACTCCACAGTTCATCACAACCTTATATCTAAAGGATGTAGAGATTCATTACAGTACATCACATAAGCAAAGTGTGCACAGTGTAATTGGTTGTGATGTATTTGCTCTGGGGTCAGTTGCAGATGTTAACTTGTGAAGTAGATTGATTTGATGCTCTCTAAAGAGGGTTAAGTAACATGGATAACAGCAGAGCCGAGTTCACATACAAACTGGAAGCTTTATGTTGAGCAATGGACATATGTATGTGTTCAAACATCAGTGCATGCTTTTGAGTGCTGGTTGCTCAAACTTTCAACTTGAGCCAAGCTGTAAGCTAAAAGACTGATGCTTGATTGTTCTGGCTGCTCTTACATTTTCAACAATGACATGATGTTATCTTTGCGCTGCTAAATAACACCACAAAGATAATAAGAGTTTATCTCTTTGCAATAGCATGATGCTGTAGATCACTACAAGAAGTGATAGGGTAACTTCTTTCTGCCAACATTACATCAATGGGTGAATTACTGCTGAGTCTTCTTTCAAAGAAATTCAAAAGACTCGTTCAATTACTAAAGAGTCAAAACATCTCTACACTGATCCAAGTTTAACTAAAGCTATACTCGTAACTTCATACAAGTAGAGCATGGTATAATGTATTTCACGTTCACATGATTTTAAATGTCCAAAAACAAAGCAGGAAAACATTGATTGAGAACAACTGATTGGGAAGGGAAAGAAAAAGGAGGAGGAAGAAGAATGACACTCATTCTTAGCGCTGTGCTGTGCTTTCTTACCATTCCACTGAGGAAAATATCTTAAATAAACATCATTTCCTCTCTTCAATCATATTAATTCAAAGAGATGTCTCCACATTTAAGGGTCACATTGCAGCCACAGGGACTTGTGACTCCTTCGACCCGACAAGTGACAAGATCATTTCCAGTCCACCATCACTGGCCACTATAAATACATTAGAGAGTGTTGAAGACTGCTATACCCACTTTTACAAACAATCATACTATCATTTTTGATTGCATCTAAAGTGCATTTCATCCACTAATGAAGACTGAAAATTGCAACACGTCGAGAAAAAAAAGACATCCGCTGGTTAATTGAATCATCACGGTTGAGCAGGTTTGAGATTAATTCCACGTAAGGAGAAGATCAAAAGCGAGCCGGTTAGAGGGATGTCGAAGGGGATAAGAGCACTGAGGCTTGTGGGATAATCCCATTAAAAAGCTGCACATTTATTCACACGGAGGATCCACAAATGTACAGTACATAGAGGATTAGAGCTAAACAGTTAGAGAAGGAGAGGGGTCACGATCAAACCCGTTTTAGAACATTGTGCTGTGTTTTTTTTTTCTGTGCTCTCTAATTTCTATTTGGAGCAATGATCAGCCTCTATAAAAGCTGTTTCAGAGTTTGTCTCTGGAACTGATTGGTTTAAAAATGCATGAGTCATTGCGTCATACTGATTGCCAAGGATATATTTAAATACACTGGATTAAACATAGACATTTACAATATACATGTTCAAACATGAACACAGGTTTGTCAATGATGTAATAGAATCATTTTTTTCTAAAATAATACTTTTTTGTTCTGTCCTGTGGTTTAAGGGATATTAGTATGTGCGTTAGTATTTGTGTAAACCCTGTGGCAGCAACACACTTCAGTATCTGCTACAGAAACCAACTCTTTGTTGGGAATACACCCAGTGTCTCACAGATAGGGTTATAGCCTCGGTTATCTAAAACGACTTGATAGTTGGCAGCTCTGTGAAGCTGTTTCTGTACAAAGTAGTGTTTTGAGCTCTGTGTTAACCACAGTCCTTCAACTGGAACGTGCTGATGTTAAGCTGATGGTATTTCCCCCCCAAATTCTGTTTCCAAGTTACCAGCACTAAACACAACATTTTTTCATTTGTTTAGTCATGAATCACAGTGTGTCACTGATATAATGGACCTAATGATAAAGTTTAAAGAAATCATAATATTATTCATAATTCATTGAACAACCCTCCAAAGATTTCCCATGTTAGCCCAATGTTAGCATTGCTAATTGGCACAAAAAAAGTAGAGTAGCGCCTGATGACAATGTCATTTCAGGCATAATATATAAAATGATTTACATTACAGAAAATAACTTGGACCCGAAAAAACAAAGGAATCACCAAAGTTATAGCAATTCAAGTACAAAGAGATATTTCGGTAACACTTTAAATTAAGGTCATAATATTCACCTTTCCTATAGTTGCTTATTAGCATCCTAATTATTAGCATACAGGCTAATAATATTAGTCATCATAATAACTAATAAGCAGCCTGTATGCTACTAATAAGTATGCTAATAAGCAACTAGTTAATATTGGGACAGATATTTCTTTAAAAATCACAAATCAAACTTCATGGTAGCACTAATTGAAAAGTCAAGGGATCAGTTGTTCCATTTGGCTTCATTTCTTAAAACCATGACTCACGGTTAACTATTCAATAGCTGCAGAGTTTTTTCAGTCTGGACCAAAATATGTCAATTTTAATCTCCTGAATATTAATATCTCTACTCCTTCTTCCGCTGCATTGATTACAGTTGATGCTAAAGGCAATGTATCTGTTTGGCAATGAAACATGGTTTTGACAAAAATGAGCATTTAAGACCCAGCACCGCACAAGGACAACATGTACTGTATGTAGTGCTGGGCTAGTCTGAGGAACACGACCACTTATCCTAATCTGTTCTTAAACAGGACAAATAAATGAACCTGGTTGAAACATACAAGAAAAACAAAAACAAAGAGAACATAATGAAATGGTAAAAGATTCATTAAAACAGAGTGACTCAGGCAGCACATTAAAAAAGGTGCTTTATCATGCAATTCATATTTATTTTGAAACTGTCAGGGCATAAACACAAGTAATAGCAGATGCGTAAAATCTCTTGATATAAACCACGATCAGTAGACAGAGGATTTAAAGTTAATGCTCCTGCCAAGAAAAAATAATGTATCACAGATTTTCTTGACAAACGTCTAAAAAAGAAAACAATTAAATCCATTCTCATCAATATAACTGTGATGAGTTTAAAAAGGTCCTCACATAAATACGCTCCGATCAAAGTTGAAATAATAAGAATGCTAAATAAAACATTTGGCAAAAACAATACAAAATATTTAACAAAGGTGGTTGTCCAACGGGTGTATTTACAGCCAGATGGATGTTGTGTGATTGTGTAGTTTGCTTGGTAACAGGTGTGGTTTTGTACATGAGTGTGATTTCATTCCACAGTGCAGAAGTTATTCAGACTGTTGTCGGGGGTCTTGGGCAGCTCGTGTTGTTCCAGTAGTCGGTACTGGAAGGAGACATGGTTGATATAGTTCCCACTGGACACCAGCCTCACCACCGAGTTGTCACAACCAATCTTCATCTGAGCTGGAGGGCCAAAGAGAGAAAAAATAACAGATGCTGTAAACTGGAGCACATAAAGAACATTGTTGCTCTGTAGCCAGCTTCTATTCATCCTGATATAAACTTATGCATTGTATCCACACTGATCATATGCCATAGCTTACACAAGCAGCCTTAATACGATATGTCTTTGTTCTGGGTGTGTTTTCTATTAAAACGATTCCCCCAGATTGTGCCAAGCAGATAATAAACTGTAGGCATTGTTGCCAGTACATTTACACTATGGACTGTTGGTCTTTGTGTCTCTTATCTCACTCACGTCAGCAAACCAAATTGCCCCTCAGAGACAATAAAGATTTTCCAACCCAATCCAATCCAATAGTTAAAGTGTAATGAAGCATAGAAACGATATAATAGCATTTCCCAATTCAAAATGCAGGGGAACCCAATTATATGTTAAAGAAAGATCCTTGCTGATACACTTTATTCTGATTATTCACAACATTTTGCATAATATTTGAATTTATTTTTTGGAACTCAGGTTGTGAAATTAAAATGTTCATCTTAAGTACCACTATGTGTGGAGTGGTTTAGCTCAGTAGGTATAGTGGGCGCTCTTTGGCTGTAAGTCACTATAACATACAGAATATATCAATATGTGAAATGTGTTTTGATGGATCATCATGTGCAGTAGCCTGGCAATGCAGGACCAATTAACAAACACAAACTAGTTTTGAAACTCTCTTTTTTTGTATTTAAGGATTCTTTTAATTGATGACTGCTCACCTAACCGTCCATTGGAGACAACCAATCAGAGCAAGGAAGTGTTGGAGTTAGGGGTATGCTGCTGAGCTTAATAGTTAGTTCCTACTGTACATCCAATTGATATGGCTTCAATAACAATATAATACATGGACTTTTAACATGAAATGATTAAGAAGCCAACATTTTGATTCAGAACTTTCCACATCTATGGCATCCATCCTGCTTTTTCACTGAGATTGCCCCGTGAGCGCTTCAGTTATTGTATTATTATTTTATTATTAAATCATTATTATTATTCACTTGGTAATCTGTCTGTACACGGGGACCAGAAGCATCTGCAAGGAGAAAAGAAAACAAGACCTTTCTGAATCTTTTTGGATCCCAAGCTACATCTGTATTTCTATAACTGAAAGCATATTCTGGACTTCCCTCACCATGGGATGAGAGGCCTGCTGCTGTAACACTATGATAAACAATGTTTTAATAATAACACGCAGTGGGGTTTAGCTTCAATGTTTATGTCAACACATTGTGAAATGTGTCAAACTGTGTCTGAATAGTTTTCAGTAAAGCAGAAGGCGAGTGAAATGTGGTCACTCAAGGCATAGAGTAGCAAATTACAGTGGGTTTAGGAAAAAGCAGAGTGAAGCACAACAAGATCACTCCACCTCACCTGAATACAGTTCATTATGTTCACATAATTAACCTTACAGTAAACAACTGTTGGTTATAATAATAAGGGACAGATGCCCTCAAAAAACAAATTTAAAAATACCCCATGAATGCAATGTACAAATATGCACAAATGTTGCTTGGCTAAAGAATTTTTTTCCAAGTTGTGAAACTAGTTGGGTTGGAGGAGCATTTTGATAAATTAAACAAAACAAATCAAGTTGTTGTTCATTACTTTTTTCTAATATATGTCACTTTTAGAACAATAAAAAAACTAAATCACACTCAAGGTTGTTCTGTTATACCACATATAATTATGACTTTGTTTGTCATCAGCACAACTCAACACAAATGTGCTTATATTGAGTCAAACAGCAACAGCACCCATCTTCCTCCTGTTTGATATCACTTAGTTAAGCTACATTGTCAAGTACAGTGTAGGTATTGTTTAGGACAATATGTTGGGATTTCCATTTCACTCTTCTGCTTGCAGTTACAGTAACATTAACAGGTTCACACTGAAGGTAAACTGAAGGAGGGTCTGAGACTCACCGAGCCCGTCGAGAGAGAAACAGAGATCAGCTACAGGGAACATCTTTGAGGTGTCCACCCCGTTCCCCCCCAGCAGCTCCACATAGTCTCCTGAACCTGAACAGCCCGTCCACACCTGCCTCTGCATAACATAAAACAACAACAATATTCTGACGTCAGATGCAGTTAAAGTTAGAAAACACAATCTTGGAACACATCGGCTATCGTCTAACAAGAACACATCAAAATAGCCTCGGATGGCAATGGCCAGGACAGAGCAATGAGTCCGCACTTTTTTGCAAGCTAACTCCTGCACATCGTCTTACTTGCAATAAGTAAGAAAAATGTTTTCAAGTTTGACATTGTGCAGGAGTTTACATGCAATTTTCTTTAAATAATTTAAATTGTGACGGTTGACTTACATCTTTTGAGTTCTCAAAGAACAAAGCTACTGAGAATTATATGTTGCCATTCTCTTGTGTTACTTAAACGCAGATTTGATTAGTGGAGATAGAAATAAATGAAATTCATTCCTCTGCGCACACAAATTTAACGTCCTCTGTAAGTCAACGCCCTGGTTAGGCCACCCATTCAAAAAAGTCTGGACACACATCTGCTATGGAGGAATATGTTGATGAGCTGGTTCCTGTTTGCCTGTGCATGTAAAAATAAATCCTTCCTCATCATAAATTCCCTTTTTTACACTGATGAATAAATCAGGAACAACAAAGAAAATAATAATATAGTAATCAAAGAACCTGCCTTTACCTAATGATTCATTCATATGGGATATTTAAGTTGACTTTCTCGTAACATCAATATCTGCTTAATAGTCCACCATTTAGTAATTCAAGTAATTATCAATTACAATAGAAAGAGTCCAATGTACCTATTCTTTCATCTCATATTCTTTTTTTTTTTTTTTTTTAAGATTTTTTAAATTTTATTTTACGAACCACTGCGCCACCAGCGCCCCTTCATCTCATATTCTGTTGTGTCTTCTGTCTTCTCTTTCATCACATCCTCTTTATATAAAATGAGATTATAAGCAGCTGAATAGGTACAGAAAACTCGATGTTAGAAGATGTTCAAGTTTCCTCAGCATAAAGTATTAAAGTCAGGTTGTTATATTTGGCCCAGTTTGTACAGTTTGACTTAATGTTGGTGCCTGGCAGCCAGTGTCAGAGCAGCTGCCAACATATTCAGAAGACATTGTGTATTGTTCTGTCTTTTATCAACATGACTTACTCCATTCCTGCTTTTTCTCTAACTAACAGGGAATTGGATTTCATGGGAAGATTCTCATTTAAAGGTTATAACAGGCTCAGAACTGTTTAGGGTATTTTGATAACACTTTGTACTGGAAGTTCTTTTTATTATCCTGTTAGCCTTTAAATCTGTTTTATTAAAGTCACGTGTTGCAGCTGTACAAAAACAATAAATCAGGTTTAAAATGTCAGGTTTAAACCTTTAACTACTACATTGTTACTGCTGATTGTAGCAGGAAGTGCCGTTTTATTACTACTCATCAAGACTGTGATCAGTTGCTTCTTGTTGCTTTGTATAAGTTGACCACATACAATTGAGAATGTGTCTTGACTGAATCCTTTCCTAAACACCACATACATATCTTATGGCCATTTTAGCACAGCACTGCTATGACATATCATCAACTTTAAAGGTCACATATTATGCAAAATATACTTTAGCATGTTTTTCTAAAATGTTTCCTTTTAGATTTTCTTCTAATGTGTCCTGTCTACAACCCCCCTATAATGGCTTATGGGGTTTGTCTTTTGCCTGCTCCACTTTTCAGAAAATGTGTCCTCAAACAGGCCGTTTGGAGATTTTCCCTTTGTGACATCACAAAGGACAGTAACCCCTCCCCCGGGAGGATGACACTCCCACAGCTAGGTGTTTGTTCTGCCCACAGAATCTGCCTTCTCACTCTAAATGATTGGACATTGTGTGAGAAAGTCAGAGCCATACAAGCCCTTTCAGAGAGGGGCGTGGTCAAACACAGCTCATTTACATTTAAAGCTACAGACACAAAAACAGCCTGTTTTGAGCAGGGCTGAAACAGAGGGGTTTATAGGGATGATAAAATACAGGATCAGAGTGGATTTTTGGCAAGCAGCTTCACAGACATGTTTCGAAGAACTCTGAGACTTATTTAAAGTTGTTTAAAAGGAGGAAAATGTGTGACCTTTAAACTTTTCACTTATTAGCAATTGGTAAAGCAATGAGAGTCTTGTTTTAACAACCAGAATGAAAAGGTGAGGTGTATGTATGTGTGTGTGTGTGTGTGTGTGTGTGTGTGTGTGTGTGTGTGTGTGTGTGTGTGTGTGTGTGTGTGTGTGTGAGAGATAGAGCAGGAGTAAGAGTGGAGAAACTTCAACACGTTCATTTTCAGCGTACAGGAGACTGCAGAGACGACATTGGTCAGATAAATTCTTTGTTCTGTTTAGCTTGTTGAATTACATGCATTACTATCTCCCTGTTCATTTAATTATTTATTACATCGAGCTGTGTGCAGTCTTAATTGTTTATGTAAGCTTTGATTGACAGCAAAGCGTGCTACGTGGTTGATTAAATCTGTGTGAGGAAACATAATGGTTTAAGTTAGCTCTTAGACTTTAATTAAGATGTTAAATACTTTAAATTGTATGTATTTTGCTGCTTGATTCTGAGTTTTTTATTTATTAAAATGGCTCGAGGGTTAAATATTGTTTATGAGTGGTAATATGGTGATTCATTTCAGATATGCTTTTAATTTATTATATTACCTATTTAACCAATTAAAATTAGTGTCCATCAGAAAAGTATTTAAATTTGCATAATTCATGTAATTGTAATTTAGTTTAATTTAAGTAACTATAATACATTTCTGATTTAGAATAATAATGTTGAAATAAATACAATTCAATTAGAAGTTTATCTGATATAGTTCAAATTGAACAAAGTAACTTTAATTCATTTAAATTGTGCATTTTCTGCAATTCAGATTTATTTATTTGTGGTTATACTGTAATTATAACTGATTCTTTATTTGTTGTCATTTATTCTTAAAGTGCAGTGCACACATAATGAAGATATTTCAGAGATATTTATGGTCTTGGTCTTGTCTCAGTATCTCCCTGCCCTGGTCTTGGTCTTGACTTGGTCTCAATCCATAAATGGCTCAGTCTTGTCTCGGCCTCTGGCCACTCTGGTCCCGGGTATGTCTTGGTCTCGGTTAGTGTGGTCTTGACTACAACACTATTAGAAACTGCCCACACAGGTGTTTTCACTTTGCCTAATGAGAACATTTCCTGGAAGTCTATCTAGGCTGTGCTGCACCTGTCAGAGTAGGATGCTGAGCAGATTCCATCGAAACAGCAGTGTGGGTCTGCAAGCTGTTTGCCTAACAGAATATTGACTTTGGACAACTCTTCATAACCCTGAATTATTTCCATGACAATATTTTCAGGAATGCACTGCCAGTCTTTTTCTTTCTTAACTTTTCTAGAATATCAAAGCAATGGAAAAATATATCAAGGCAAATCAAATTCATTGAGTTTCTTGCCAAGGGTAAGATCCTAAATGTGATACAACTCACATGTTCAAACTGTGAATTTAAATATTTATCTGAAACAGAAAGCCTTTCAACACAGTGACAGGAAACTGAAACAAACATCCAGCCTAGCTCTGTCCAAAAGTGCAAATGGATATTTCTGACTTTTATTTGACCCGATCTTTCCTCATTGTATTCTCTCCCTTAACCTGGTTGTAAAGAGGTCTACATTGTCAATATATTTCTCTGTAGCTGCATGCCAAGTTTACTGTCTTTATACAAATCTTCAATAATACGTCAACCTCAATTCCCTCTTACTGAACAAGAAAGGTTACTAAAGATTTGCATATGTTTAAAAGTGCTGGGAGGAGGATTCAGTTACACTTTGACGCAGCTCGGTTAGCTGGCCTGTTAACTGTTGAAAAGCTGAATCATTATATTTTATGGACATACATAAAAAGGCACATGGGTCTTTAAGACTTGCCAAGAGAGAATAATCATATTTCAAAAAATGTGTCAAAACCCTAGTCTTTGAGTTTTCATGGAAGTATTAAAGATTGTGAATTGAATACAGTTTTGTAGAATTTGTTTTCAATGTTGAAATAACTGTACAAATATTTCACCTCACACAAACTGATTTGTTCATAGCTGTACTGTGTTTTTGAAGTTATAAACCAAGAGTAAGGATTCTTGATAAACCTGTGATGATGCTCCCGATCATACAGGAACACTAACTTTCACATCAGTTGCTTTTTATTTGTCACATTTTTTGGAAGTATTTTTCATGTATACAGTCAGTGGATGGACTTCCTATTTTTTAATCACACCAACTAGCCTCTGATTGGTTCCTTGTTTGTCTAACTGGGGGAAACAGCTGTAACAGAGCTCTGCAGCAGCCAAAGATAATCTGAGATATTGGCAGTGTGTCAGAGGCTTGGACAGTTTCTCCACTGATTAGGGTTCATAAATGGAATTAGATTTGACTGATCTTATGTGGAACTGAATTTAAATAAGATTAAGTCCAGATTTAATGGCAAAAAGCTTCATATAAATACTACATCTGCTACTTAGACAAGTGAGCTTATCTCCTTCTCCAACATAGTGTGTCAGAAATGTATTAGTACTATCACGTTCAAACAAGGGTCTGTTTAAAGTAGAATAATCCTGTCCCTCCACACAACACATTAGTTAATTTAAGGAGGACGTTAATGAAAGTGAGATTAGGGGTTACTCTCACAGAGAATGGGGGGTGTTGATGTGTCTCACCTGTGGACTGAGCTCATTGCTTTTGGCCTGCCCCAGGCTCAGCTCCACCAGGCGGATCTCCACAGGATAGATGATGGAGAAGCTGCAGTTCCTGCGCTGGTGTGGCATCACCATGGTGAAGCTGCCCTCTGGATTCTGAGACATGATGTTACAGGCTACACACACACACACACACACACACACAGGCAGAGGAGGAGAGGTTTCAAATTAACAGTTCCCCATCAGCAGAGAAACTCATTACTGACACCTCATGTCAGAAATTGGACATAATCAAGGCTGACTGCAGGGAGGGGACACAATTAAGGCAGAGCATGGAAATCCAATCCCAGCTCTGATGGCAGTGATAAGAAAATAATGAAATTTCAATTGATAACAGAACGGCAGACTAGACAGGCACCAACAGGAGTCGGAACACTTTAATCCTGCAGGCATGTTGTTCATTTAGAGACATGTTTTTGGAATAGGAGAGTGTCGATCAGAATCAGATCGGATCAGGTTGCTGAAGGGAGAGTACATTTTATAATCTGTTCTTTGTTTTGAAAGTGCAGGTTTCAAAGACTGGATTTACTGCCTTAAAAATGCAGAATGTGTGTTTCATTTTTCCAAGCAGAAGAGAATAAATAAAAATAAAATCTGTTGATTCATAACTTTGAGATTTGACAAATATTTACGAGCACGGCCACGATTCATGTGTATGACTTTTTTATTTTTTGTATTTGTCTTTATGTTGTGTTTGCTTGTTGTTTGTTTGTCTTGCTTTGAAATGTATATACAGTTTTCAAATTTGTGGTGTATGTTAAATACTGAAAAAAAACACAATAAAAAAAGCACAATCTTAAAGAAATTCAAATAAAACCTGTTTATATTTCTGATTTAAAAATGTCCAAGCCCTTGCCACTGCATTACAACTTTTTCCAAACAGACAGTCACAGAAAGAGTACTTCTGTAAGCATCTGTTAAATTGATGTTTTTTTGGTAAAACATTGAAACTTTTTAAGGGCTGTGAGACGTTTATAGTCACTTATTATATTATCTATCACAGCTTTGTATGTACAGAGATATGCTGTTTTTCATACAGTTTTAATTTAAATGGCCAGCAGCTGCAGCCAACAGTCAATATTTGAATAAAACCTCATACATTAGCCTGAGATTTATGCCGTTTCCCTGCAGATAACTCCATTCAAACTACGCTTTTTTTTGTGCATCACTGCCCTTTCTTTGTCTGTCTTTGTGTTCCAGCCACACTGTGGTTGTTATGTTGCTTGACACAGTGTTACCAGCATGTTTGTCAAGCAGTTGGAAAACAGGTGCATCCCTCTCATTCAATATAAACCTGTCACTCTCAGCCCTGATTGATGCTCGACCAGGAAGAAAATACAAATACACGGGTCTCGCACTTTAAAAATACACAAATCGGATTAGATGAAAGGCCTTTGGTTTTCTTGTTTCCATTTTCTTTAATTTGTGTGGATGTTTCTGTTAATTTTGCTTTCAGACTTCTTTTCAGTACTCAAGAAACATTCAGGACGTGAATGCAGCAGGACTCACGGAAAGGGTTGTGTAACTTTTTGACAGTGAGGGTGAAGCTGCTGTCAGGGTTGTGGAGGCGAAAGAAGACCATGGCGACATTCTGCGAGGAGCGGCTGCTGGCTCCTGCACCCGCGGACGAGCAGTAGTCTGTGTAACGCTGGTGCATAGGGAGTTGGTGGTCCTGCCTGCTGGGGAACTTCTCTCCTTTCAGAACCCAACCATCAAACATCTGGAAGACAAAGATTCATGAAAGCCATTTAAAAAAAAACAAAAAAAAACAAAAATATACAATATAAACAAAGTCAGAGTTTCTTTATGTTAATAAATCTTGATTTAACTCATAACAACATCATTCTCATATTTCTTGAGGGAATATTTAAGACATGGAGCATAAAAAGACAAAATTGACCCTTAAAGAGTATAAACACAATACTGACACATGCTGATCCACAATACTCTTAAAAGTCATAATATAAACCTTTAGCCGAACTTAAGCTAAATAGCTAAATGATTTCTTCCTATAACTTAAGGACACCTTATTGGTGGAGGGAAAAGGTTCAAATGTACCTTTAAAGATCCAATAAAAACATAAAAACACATTAGCTCAAGAAGATATGCCTTACTTTTATTTTCAGGTAAAAGCTCAGTGCCGTATTTGTTGTTATGTTTCTGTATTTACCTTTTAGCTAGGGAGGGGCTTAATATGGAAACTGATATGATGGACGTTTAAAGTGGCCAATAAGGCTGAATAACAGAACATTCCTACATTAAGCTCAAACACAGAAACAAAGCAGATCTGCTAGCCAGCTAATAAGTGTTGTGGGAGGGACTTGAAAACAAGAGAAAGCATTTAGTTGGACACAATATTAGTGAATGCCCTGACTGCAGGATGAGTCAACAACATTTTTTAATGTTTGTCAAACACTAAAATACCTTTAAGAATAACTACAAAACACATTTTTTTAAATGCTAAAGAGCAAAGGCTGAAACACAAACATCTATTTGGATTGAGTGGGAACTTTAAGTGTCATTTCTAAGGCTAGCCAGCTAATAAGTGTTGTGGGAGGGACTTGAAAACAAGAGAAAGCATTTAGTTGGACACAATATTAGTGAATGCCCTGACTGCAGGATGAGTCAACAACATTTTTTAATGTTTGTCAAACACTAAAATACCTTTAAGAATAACGACAAAACACATTTTTTTAAATGCTGCAAAGAGCTGTTATTAGAAACACAAACATCTATTTAGGTTGAGTGGGAACTTTAAGTGTCATTTCTAAGGCTTTTAGTTACAGCCCCATCTAATCTGCTGTGTTATGAATCACATTTAATTAGAAACATAATCCGACATGACTTTCTATAAATATTCTGTGAATCTTATTTACACAAATAGCATGTTTACAGACAAAGAAGACTGCCGTTTGGTTTGTCGAGCATCTTTTAAAGAGACTTATCTGTGCAGTTTGCACACACCTCAATCGAGTCTCTAAACTTAGTTCATATTTCAAAGTACCTGTCCTTCTTTCTCTCTGCTATTCCTGTCACCACTTTGGCCCACATGGATCAAAATATCCATGTAACTGGCAGGCTTGGCTTCAGAACTAAAGCCTTCTCTTCCCACACTTGCTTTGGGTAATGTGACCAATGCAGAGAAGATCCAGTGTGGTGTTTGGCCCTTAAACGCTGCCTTAACCCTGTTTGGCATCGTTGAGTCAACACAAGAAGATGAAATAGAATTCAGGGTTCAACTTCTTGTTTCCCACTAGCAGGGTGGGGGTGTGGGGGTTTGAGGAGAGTGGGTGCTGTTTTTTTTTTTTTTGGTGGATAGAGCCAACCTTGATAAAGTCTCCGGCGCTGCAGTCGATGCTGACGTCAGAGAGCTCCAGGTTGATGACCTCACTGGGCTCGGCGATGATGAAAGTGGCACAGGCCAGCTCTGGTTTAGACGCCACGAAAGTGAACTGGCCGTCGGTGGCCAACATGTCCAAACATCCTATAAAACAGCAGAAATGTATTCTTAAACATTTACATGCCAATCTCAACAAGTAAATATAGTTTGTGCTGTCTGAAGGGTCAAAAAAGACCCACCAATATGTTTAACTAAAAAACAATAATTACCCCCTATTTGAAATGTAATGACATTTCCTAGAGTAACATTAACATATAAACAAAACCAATAATGTTTTTTTTGTTTTTTTAAATGTCCGAGGAAAAACAAATCTTCACCACCGGGTTACAAAGAACGCCATAAGGTCATTTTTAACAGTCAAAAAGTCGTGTACACACTACAACACACAAACCATTATTACAGTTGTGTACAGATTTAATGATTAAATGCAGTCTCTCTCCACTGTGAAGAGGGCAGATGTACACCAAGTTTTAATCTTAGACAAACATAATTGAGGTTTAAATTGAACTGAATTGCTTTATTTTAGGGATCAGAAACATTTCAGACCCCTGAAGGCCAGGGGAGTACACAATATGAACCTGACAGAGAAGTGAAGGATTACTCCAGGATTCAAAAGTATGAGGGTTATTAGATGTTTGGTCCAACACAAGGAAATACTTTCAGTCTTCATAAGTCACAAATGTTGACATATTTTATTTCCTCCTCAAGAAAACGTATTCATGTAAATCTATCTGAATTCATTTTTGACATTTATAACACTTTGCTGTGTACAATAAAATAACAACTATACTGATGTTCTAGTTACTACAGACATATTTTAGTCTATAGTAGACATACATGATACTATTGTTTTATTGATTAATAGTGTTTTAAACGTGCTCTGTGCAGCTGCATTTAACACTTTACTGAATGTCAAAACTTCATCTGTAATCATGTAAAGTGTTCAATGTTAGTCAGCCAAGTCTGTAACAGTGTTGAGCATAATCAGCTGTTGAATGAAGCCTTTGTTTAGCGAGCACTTACTGAGAGGTCTGCGGAAAATAAAGTCCTCTGATTCTCTCTTCTGGTCCAAAGAGAGCAGAGAAAATAATCCGTCTGAAGTCTCGATGTCCTGAATGAAAACGTGATGGGAGAAACGTGTCAAATATGAGCTTTCGGTTGAAACTTTAGAGATAAGACTTTCTCTGTGGTCCTAAAAGAGAGACGTTGAATACATTATTTATTAATGATTAAAAGTCTCACCTCGATATATCGGCTGAGTCCCGTCCGTGAAGAGAGGGAGAAGAGGAAGAGGAAGACGTGAGCGCGCAGGGACACAGACATGATGAAGAGCGTCTCTGGGTGTTTGCTGAAGGTGAGGAGAATAACTGCGCCGCCTCAGTGCTGCCAGCTTTTATAGCAGCACAGACACACAGGCACACAGGCCGGCCTACATCAGAGGGTCATGTGTGAAAACCTGCCATTCATGCCAGCATCTGGACACTTCTCTGGCTGTGCACAGACTACTTTCCACTGCGTATGAATTTGTTAGAATAAATCCGTATAAAAGTCATAATAAAAATCTACAAAGCTGCATCAAAGTCTATCACAATTAAGTAGTACATGTTTAGATGAATACATTGTTCATGGTTCCTTTATCATTGTGCTACTTTACTTAATACAACTGAGCTGACATGACACATAAAATTAAAGATTTAAACTAAATTCATGCATGAGTGACACTCACCGCAAACAAAATGATGTTAGGTCACAGCCATATAATGTCACACTTTATATAACGTGTCAGGTTAAACAGTTCACTTAAAAAAAGAGACAAATTCAAAAATCTTGATTGAAGAGGTGTTGAAACATAATCATATTGTTCAGGCCTGTTCAGTCCTATTAAATCTAAGTGTCTTTGAGAAAGGATGCAATGGCATCCATTCATAGTTTGGATAATTTGTCTTCCTTCCTTCCTTCCTTCCTTCCTTCATCATTGTGATACAGATGTTTTTGTAAAGAACATGAAAAATATTCAACACAGTGAGTTATATTTCTGAACTGGAATGGACAATGTATTTTCTCAGAGGGACAGAGGGAACTTCTGCTTTAAGTAACAGAGAATACGTTTGTAGTTTTGGTTCACACCACATATCAACAGAGATTTTTTCTCTGTACATAAAATGTTTTATTACTCTCAACTTCCTGAATATCACAAATTAACCTACTTAGAAAAATAAACAACATATTATTAAAATGAAATACAGATTTCAACTCGACTCTGTGGTCTTTGCCTCGGAGTAATGCTGGTCAAGCCACCGTTCAATGCTCTTCACAGTTCTGTTTTCTCTTTTCTCTTTTCATTGTAGACAGTGATACCGTGGAGAGGCTTCAGACTATCTGTCTCTACTGATTCACATGCAGTTACCTGCTGTACTTTACTCCGCCTTCTTTCTCCTCCTCTCTTACTTGACCTTGCTCTGAGGTCAATGACTTTTGGTTTCTTGCCTTCTACAAAGTTCAATTGCAAAGTTGTCATTCGACATGCTAATTATTTCTACGGCTCCAACAGGAGAAAGATCAAGAGAAATCAGTTAGTTTAAAGAACCCTTTGCTTTTTCTTTGACATTAAAAAGATAAATTATGGAAATGTTTTTTGATCCGTCTTTGTTACAAATGGTTGAAAGCTAATAGGCTATAGAAGCAGCAGATGCTAATCAACTTTTTTTTTTACGACCAACCACATGCAACATTTATTTATTTGTATTCAATATGGAAAAATACATTGTGCTTTCTGCAAGTTGTAAAAATACTAATTTTGTTAAAATCATGCACAAAAAAATGATCACATAAACAAACTGGAATAGTTTTCCTTAAGTGATATATTTGTTTTACATTTGATGGAAGCAGAGTATTTCATTATTCGACAGAAGCATGTGTTAAGCAATACTTCACCAGTTTCATTCCTACTGTGTGATTTCTTGCCTTTCAGAAGAAGCAACCTATTAACCAAAATATGGATATGTACAGCTTTTACGAAAACCATTTTTAACATAACAATGAACTAAATGGAGCCATGTTGAGGAACAGAAAGAACAGAAAGGGACACAGTTCAAATACAGCAGTCAAAAGTTTGAAAGAGTTAAAGGTTAGTTTGTGGAGACATACGCAAATTCATTTAGATAAGACTATTTGTGAGTCCGTGCTGTCGCTGTTAAAGGTCAAACTCAGACTAGCTGACATTAAGAGATGATAATCATCCTGTCAGTTTATATTCTAAAAATCTGCACTGCAATTATCTTCAACTAATAACTGACATTTTCTTCTTGCAGTGGCGAAGGACAATGACGTCACACATGGACCTCCAAAAGAAAAAAAAAATTATGGATTTAACAACAACCTTTCAGCTAGTGTTCTCCCATGCTGCTGACCTATTCAAGGTGTGTTACATTCATGAAACAGAAAGTATTCATTGTTATAATCAGTTGTTGTATTAAGTCCTCTTGTTGTAAAGACGTCCCAGCACATTAGTGAGAGTCTCCCTGTGAGAGAGTGTTTGCTAATGTGAATGACAGCAGAGGAAAAGGAACATTTTAGTGAAATGCTACTGTGTGTGTGTGTGTGTGTGTGTGTGTGTGTGTGTGTGTGTGTGTGTGTGTGTGTGCACTTGCCTCTCGGCGTTTTAACACAAACACAGCCATGTGTGTAATGTGGTGCTGTGATTCATAATGTAATAGTTTAAATCCAATGTATTAAATGAATCGATAGCTTTTAATGAACGAGTAGCCCATCAGTGTTGTTGTACTGCTCTAAGTGATGAGCAGATTAACTCACATTATGCTGGGCTATTCACACAGTCCGTCATCTCATCTAAAGTTATCTGATCGTATCTAAACCGATACTACAGCCCCCTAATCCTCCAGATCTTTCACTGAAAATCACTGAAGGAGTGAATCAACACCCTGCAGCAGCACAAATGAACTTTCTTTGCACTTTAGATTCAAGAGATGAATTTGCAGCCGAAATAAAATAAAGCATATACTGCCTATAGGCAATAGTACTACATAAAAAGTATTAGCTAATGTGCAACACAAACACTTCAAACAACAATTCAAAACTCTGCAAAACTTCCACATGCATATCTGTCACTTCAAAGTTGTAAAATATTCCACTGCTGCTCTAAACCTTCTTTTTTTAAATACTTTTTTATACTTTATCTGCATAGTTGTCACGTTTAATTTGTTTTAACTATTTATAGAACTGGTTATTCTTTTTCTTTCACTACACAGGAGACATGGCATACAAATTGTCTTGTACCTTGGTGTAGTGATTATAAAGCTCATTCTGTTTCTAATTCATACATATTTAGTTCATCTGTTATATTTTTTCAGTGCACAGAAGTTTGTAAAGGTTCTTCTTCAATCATGACATTTTTCTTAATGAAATTCAGATATATTGTAAAATGCTATTAATTATGAAAACTTCATTTCCACACTGTTCAAATAAATCCAAGTTGATGCCAGCTGCCTCTGTCTCAACTAGCCAAAGTCTACAGCACCACCTGGTGGTCAATTTAGGAACTTCTTTGACAATTTAAACCTATTAGGTTAATTCCTAAGAAATGTGTGTGCTTTAATTTCTACAATTCTATTACAATTTTATTCTTCTTAAGAATGAAATAATAAATCCAGTCCAGATCTTCTGGATGTAGAAACAGTTAAGTTGAGTTGAGTCTTGCCCTCTGTATTTCTGCTGACACCTCAGCTGGCCAGATGTTACAGCCTCCTCTCCATGTGGTAAAAGTTAAATCACAGCGATTGCTGTGGCCAGACGTGACCACCTTAACCCTGCCTTGTATCCCAGCATGCAACCTCCATTTGCACACCTGCTCCCTGGCAAAGATAGCCCAAACAGCAAATGTATTTTTGCTTTGTCTGTCAGTGTGTGTTGACTCCCTCTCTCTCACACACGTACACACTTCTTGTGTGGATCTGTCCATCAACACAGCGGTCCAGCCCGGCTCTCCTCGCTGCCTGACTGACCCATTCATCTCCTGTGGAGGCCGTAATGAGCCGACCCTCCCCGTTTGGACCGACCTGACAGAGAGAGATGACTTTAAAGCCTGCATAGATTTTCTCCCTGGTCCCCTCCTCCTCATTCCTCTCCCGTGAAAGTGGTTAATTCAGAGTGCATTAATGAGGAGCGATGGATAACACACTCTTCGTTTAATTACCTTCCAGCAGAGTTCTTCAGGGGAGGCCTGGTGACTCCCATCTGATGCCGGCCTGTTTGTTCGGTTTGTTTCCACTGCAGAAAGTCTTTCATCTCGTGCATTTTGCTGTCAGGATAAATGATAATGAAGTATTTGTAGGTCAGTCGTAGAGCTACTGTGTATCAAGGAAAAAAAATGGAACAAAAAAATAAACCTATTTAAAAAAAAAAGCTGCAGATTGGTCTCTGATTCACTTTAAACAAAGTCATGGTCAAACCTTGATTCTGTTGATTGTTAGGATTTGATTTATATTGTTAAAATAACAAACCTTTATGCTAGTATAAATTACGAAAAAGAGCTGTTGCAACATCTTGTAAGTTGTAGGAGTTTTTACTTGGAAGATGACTTTTTCTTTCAAACAAACAATTCATGTGTGAGTTTGCAAGACAGGTTAGTCATAGGAGCGGCAGAATATTTGAACTTGAGTGATCTTGTTTTAACACAGTGATTGGGACCTGTGGCCTCTAGGGGGGGCCGAGGTTATGACAGGGATGACGCAGCAAGTTCTAAAAAGGAAACAACAATGCTAACTGTTTGCACTGACAGAAAAGCATGGCAGAATATGTGAGAGGTCTTCCAGGTAAACGCAAAGCTAACAATGACTCGAAACTACTAAAACAAAGACTAGAATAATATGACGAGTAATGTCTCGCCCTCCGCTACACCTGTACAACAATGGGTAATGAAGAGAGCAACACTTCTGCTTTTTGCCAAATCCTAGATTTGTGAGTTTGGTTTCTCTGCAGTCGCCTCAAAACACAGATCAAAGCTGGACACTGAAAATGAACTAAGAGTGGAAGTCTTATAGCTGGCTTGAAAATATTTTCATCTGCCAAAAGGGGGACCACCAGCAAAAGTTTTGGAAACACTGCTTTAACATGTTGCCGTATATGGTTTAAAACTTTAGGACCTTCTAACTTCAATGTCAATGTTTTTTTTCCTGCTGGTTCAGCTTAATTTGAACAAAGCCTCACGTGGCTCCTTTGTGCCAGAGAGCAGCTTTTCACTTCATGTTTTGGAAATCATTCTTTCAGTTGCATTCAGTGACCAGCTCCAAAAGCTGTATTAGAACTGCAGGATATCAACTTTGTGCATTTTAGGGATG